AAGCAACCAGCAGAAACTCAACAGGTGAAGAGACGACGGCCCCCTCCCTCCCCGCGTACACACCTTACCGGGATTCACCCGAGCTGCAAACACCAGAGGAGCTCGCGCTACGACCCAGCCCCAGTTATGCCGCTCGCCTTCTGCTTCCCGGCTTCGGGTAGACCACAGCTAACCATAAAAGGCGGCTCACTTCCTAGATCGCCCTTCTTCGCCGGGGCCGTTTTTCAAGCCGCCCGCTTCCCCTCCCGCTCTCGGGGATTCCACGCCCTCGCCCCGTGACCCGGATTATTGGCCCCGCCTCCTCCCAGGTCTCTTAGCGGCTCCCCCTGGATTAGGGAAACTGCCCGCCCTCCTGCCTCGCCCGCAGAAGTGCTTTCCTTGGCTCAGGGCGGGAGGAGGAGGTTGTTTGTGCTGCTCTTGGGCTGGCACGCCAGCATTTCCCTTGCATTGCATGCAGGGGAGAGTGCGTTCCTCTCGCGATGGGATGAATTAGCTGAATTACTGGTTTGATAGGCTCCATGAGAGATGGATAGACAATGGGCATGCACATTCTGTCCTTTGCCGCGCTTTTTCCTGTGCGGGAAGGGGGTCCACAGCATCTCCAGGTAGGGCTCAGCCCCACGCTGAGACCCTGAAGCGCCGCAATACTGATCTAGATAGACCGATGGTCCGCCGTGGTATATGGCGGGTTTTAGCAATGCTTTTGGAATTTTTACTTATTAAAGGCGCAACTGCCCTGGGGGGGGAGTGGCTAGCCCTCCACCAGCCACAGTGTAGGCGACTGAGATGCAGCTTTTCACAACACTGACCACATACACAAAGTGACTGTTTATTACTGCCCGATTTATAATATTTATTTTGCATCCCACTCTCCCGAAAAAAGCCCAGGGTGGCAAGCAAGTGGCAAAACACCTTAAAAACAACTCCAATGCAGATGCAGACTGGGAAAAGTCTCAAAAGGCTTGTTGAAAGAGGAAGGTCTTCAGTAGGCACCCGAAAGATAATACTGTCGCGGATGACTCAGGGGTTGTGGCGCTCATCTCGCTTTACTGACCGAGGGAGCCGGCGTACAGCTTCCCGGGTCATGTGACCAGCATGACAAAGCCGCTTTTGGCGAAACAGAGCAGTGCACGGAAATGCCATTTACCTTCCCGCCAGAGCGGTACCTATTTATCTACAGTGGTACCTTGGGTTACATATGCTTCAGGTTACATACACTTCAGGTTACAGACTCCGCTAATCCAGAAATAGTACCTCGGGTTAAGAACTTTGCTTCAGGATGAGAACAGAAATCATGCTCCGGCGGCCCAGCGGCAGCAGGAGGCCCCATTAGCTAAAGTGGTGCTTCAGGTTAAGAACAGACCTGCAGAATGAATTAAGTACTTAACCCGAGGTACCACTGTACTTGCACTTTGACGTGCTTTCGAACTGCTAGGTTGGCAGGAGCTGGGACTGAGCAACGGGAGCTCACCCCCCTCATGGGGATTTGAACCGCCAATGTTCTGATAAGCAAGCCCTAGGCTCTATGATTTAGACCACAGCGCCACCCGTGTTTAATAGGATTACTTACTTTTTAAATGGTTTGAGAACTGCTACTGTGCCCTGCATTCAGGCAAACAGTTATAAATCCTCCAAGGTGGTTTACTGGAATGTGCACATTTATCCACATATGTTTGTCCACATTTCAGCCTTCAGTGTTATGAATCATTCAGTTTCTGACCGCTTTCCAAAATAAATTCATGCTAATAGCTACAATATGGGCATCAATATTGGGAAACTCTCTGCTCTTCTAACTGTTGTCCTGAAGCCAATATGACTGGCAAGAGACTGTTTAAAAAGGCCAGTTTGGAACATGAACCTACTTCCCAACCCCCCTTGTTTTCCATCCAGAACTGAGAAAACAGTTGGCTGAACATCTGCACATACTATTTTGATGGTTTCTTTGAAAATTCCTCCTGCTATGATGATTAGGCTGGGAAAAATAATGTATTTTGGTGCTATTCTCCACTCTCCCAGCCCCCAGCTTGACATAAGGGGGGACATACAAAAAGCCTCCAATGTGTCACATTAAATCCCAACTCCAATAACTGACTGTTCGCACAAGCACAAAACAGCCATCTAAATAATTTTAACATAACTTTATATTAACCACAATAATCCTGTTGAGAGCTCGTTTAGAGTAGCAATTGATTTAGAACATCCATATGAGGAAACAGAAATGAAGTATTTTATTTTTTTTGCCCTTTGCATATATTATATTAAGTTTTCAAAAGTGACCATCTTAAACCCAGGGTTGTTCACTTTTGAGAAGACACTGAAAACCTAATGGTTTTATGTATGCCTAACACCGCGTAAGATCAAACGGCATACATTTAATTACTGTTGCTCATACTGGGAGGAATTCAACATTGTACTCTTCTGATTGTTCTGTCAGCACAAGCATTCCAGTTTGCCTGAAAGAATGACCCCCTTATCCTCCCCCCCCATAAGCTGTTCTAGGGGTTCTCCTGACACCCCCCAAAAGCATGGCGTGTTAAGGGGACAGAAGCAACGTGATTGGTCAGTTAAGTATTTCTTTTGTTTTACTTGATGGGGGGCAGCTGCCCTCTCTTGGCTACGCCCATGCCCCCAAGGCCCATCGCAGACGGCACTGGGGAAGGGGGGGAGGTCCATTGCGCAAGATGAAGTCCTTGTGTAGGACTTCCATTGATGTGACTGGGTAGGTGAATCCTACATATAGATGGGTTACAGACACTTCAGGTTACAGACTCCGCTAACCCAGAAACAGTACCTTGGGTTCAGAACTTTGCTTCAGGATGAGAACAGAAATCGTGCAGCGGCAGTGGGAAGCTAAAGTGGTACCTCAGGTTAAGAACAGTTTCAGGTTAAGAACGGACCTCCAGAACGAATTAAGTTCTTAACCCAAGGTACCACTGTAATAATATAGCATGTTTTTCTTCTTAGCATTAGTTCACAAGGAATATAAGAAAAGCAAGTCATAAATGTCATTAAAATAGGAATTAAGTATTCAAATGGTTGTTTGACAGAATGCTTGGCTCTAAGCAGAAGAGCTAAAATGAACAGGTTAGAAAATGTTACGATTACTGAGTTTTGCTGAATTTTAGTTTTAGCTTGTCAGAGATGTTGTGGATAATTATTTCAGTTCTTTGGAAGTTATACCATGGTGGAAGAGGATTATATCAAAGATCCGATTACACAACTGTAGAAGCAAAGGCAATTGCAAACACTTTAACCTTCAAGACAGTTTAGAACACACTTAACTGTGGCATATTTGAATTTTAACCAGCTTTCTACTATGAGCTGTTTTGCATGATACAGGTATCTTAGTTTAAGGGTTTTATAAAACTGCAACTCAGGAGCACTTACAGCTCAGTTCTAACAGGTTTACTTTGAAATAAGCCCCCATTATGTTAAGAGGGGTTTATTCATGGTATTGCTTAGAATGGCTTAGGCTGGTGTAGGTTATATATCAAATGTTCATGTCAAGAGTTGTTTTGGAAAGATAGCCAAACTTTATACCAGAGAGTGTTAGTTTTGCTTTGGATAATATTTCAGCTGCATAACTACCTCTCCCAAGCTTCACTGCATCCTACAAAGTTCAGTAAGAATACTCCCTCTCATCTACTGTGAAGATGTAGTCAGATACCAATTGCATTTTAGCCTGCACAAACAATAGACAAGATTATATACATTAAATAGGTGGCATAGTGAGATGTAGTGGTATCCACATTAAGCGAGTCATACATATAATAGACAAGTATATAAAGCTGTAAGCTTCTAGAATAAGCTATTTATTGTGATGTTTAACTTAATACTTGCCTTCCTTGTTACAAAATAGATGACTAATTGGCTACCGTATTCAATTAATTCAATGACCCTATATAAAAGAAGTGAAAGGAAGTACAGTGGTACCTCGGTTTAAGAACAGTCCGGTTTAAGAATGATTTGGTTTACAAACTCCGCAAAACCAGAAAAAGTGTCTTGGTTTGAGAACTTTACCTCGGGTCTAAGAACGGAAGCCAAACGGTGGAGGGGCACTGGCGGCGGGAGGCCTCATTAGGGAAAGTGTGCTTCGGTTTAAGAACGGTTTTGGTTTAAGAATGGACTTCCAGAATGGATTAAGTTCGTAAACCGAGGTACCACTGTATCTTTAACTTCACAGACTGAAAGGAACTGAGCGACTATTGCTTTTCTAAAAAATGAAAAACAATCCTACTCTTCTAGGAGTCCAAAACACAAAGAATTGACACAGAGATAAAATTACAAGAGGCCCAATTTGATTTATTTATAATGCTTCTAAACTTCATATTAAAAGAAACATTGGAGGAGACCCGCTGAAAATAATGGATGCAAGTTAGTCATGTCCATTAATTTCTATAGGTCGTCTTTGAGCAGGGCCAACATGGGTTATAATCCAGTAAAAATGGACCTAACGAAAGTACATGCATAGCCAACATTCACTTTCTGAAGACGCTTCGTTACTATGCAGCCGTTTACCGTTAACGGAGCAGGATCTTTAAGAAAAGCTAGTCCCCCAGTATATATCCAGCTATATCTATGCAGCACCTCATCACAAAAGCAACCATCTTCTTTCTTCTTCTCATCACCTTTCACCTTTCACCTTTCTTTCACCTTCTCATCGCAAAAGCGACCACTACCCTCGTCGCCTGTAGACAAAGACAAAAGAAACACGGAATATAACCGTGGTTGCAAATTTTTTTTATATTCCCACGTGACCAGATGGAGCTGACGCGTTTCTCCCTCAGCGCACTGCTTTCTGGGACTTGTAGTTCCTCTCGAACAAGAAAGCTCTGCAGTTTCGCGGGCTTGACACTATATGTCCCAGGCGCCCCGGGAACACTTTGCGCCGATTGGTTTGACAGCTCAGGGGGGGATTGGCTGAAGCCGGACATCTACCTCGCGTCGACTCCACAGGCGAGGCGGCGCGTGCAGCTTTGAGAGAAGGGGCGGGGCCTGCCGTCTGCAGCCGCCCCGGGGGATGGCGGGGAGAGAGGCTGGCCGCTTCAGAAGCGGGAGCGGTGGTGGGCGGGGGCGCTCCGCCGAATCCGACCCGCTCCGGTTCTTTGGGGTTCCATCCGGAGAAGCCTCGCGGCGGGCTCGCGCCAGCCTCTCCTTCCCGCCCCCGTTCTGCTGATGGGCAGCTGCCTCCCCGCTGCGCTGCCGAAGGGCGAGGGGTGGGTCCGGGGAGGGAAGAGACCCAGGCCCTGCAGGGCTGGGAGCAGGCGAGCCCGGACGGAGACTTTCTCCCCTTGAAAGCGGGGCGGCGGGCAGAGAGGAGCGCCAGGAAGGGAGGGACTCTCCTCCTCGCACGGTCCCAGCCAGCGCGAAGCAAGTTTCTTAGCCGTGCAAGTCCTCGGACTCTGCAAGCCGAGCTTCTCGCAGCCTAACGGAGGCGCCTCTTCGCGCATTCAGGGAGCGAGACGTATTTTATTTCGCAATATTTATATAGCGCTTGGTTGCAACGAAGCCGCGAAGCGCTTCTCGGCACCCGGCCATTATAATGAGGGCTGGCGGGTAAGAAGGGAAGTGGGGGAAAGGAGCAGGACAAGACCCCCATCAGCGCCGCCGCCGCCTTCCGATATTCCTTTGACTCTTCTGGGGAGGAGGATGGCGGCCGCCTCGGAGAACTGAGTCTCGGGAGAGCGAGGAGCGGGGATCTCTTTCTGACAATGGCCGACCGAGATGGAGAGGTGAGGTGGGATGGGCTGTGCAGCAGGGAGCGCAGCGCCAGAGACAGCGCCATGGAGAGCATAAGGCAGGCGGTCCTGAAGAAGAGCGAGGCGGTGGCTCCGGCCAAAGAAGCCGCGTCTCCTCCGGCGTCGCCAGCGGCGGAAGGGCTCTCGCCGCCTCCCAGCGGGGCTCGTGGCGGGCTGAACGAAATGCTCGCCCGCCTGCTGATGCTGTCCAAGAGGTGCCCCTTCCGAGACGTGAGGGAGAAGAGCGAGGCCATCCTGATGAGCGTTCAGGTAAATGCCCGGCTCCTGTGCTTTCTTCGGGAAGCGTCTCGAAGTTTGCAACTCTTTCCCTTGGAATAAGTTTCGCTGAGTTCTGAAGGCCTTTCTGCTTTCTGCCTGGGTGCCTTCAGGACGAAACTTTTGTGTGTGCGTGTTTCGATGGTAAGACAAGGCGCTCAAGGCACATGGGATTTTCCTCCTTTCACCCTTGCAACTGCCCTGTGAGGTAAAGCAAACTGAGGGACCAAGGTCACCGTGGTAGAGCGGGGAGCTGTCTTAAGCCGAATTGTATCATGCAGCTACTTTGGCTGCGTGGCTCAAGGGTGCAGACGGAGTCTTTCTCAGACCTGGTGTTGGAGATCCTTTCACCAGGATTGTCAAGGATTTAGGTCTGTTTTTTTCTGCTGCTGCCAAACCTTGACCTCTGAGTAAATGATCGATGAGATTTCATTCTAATAAAATTTGTTTTGCACTGGGATGTAAGAAAATTTAAGCAGTGATCTTCTTAAGGGGAATTGAACTAGGATTTACTCACACACAACATCATTAACTTCCAGTTGACAAAATTCAATCCCCTAACCTTATCTGGATTATGCAGTAAACATTAATGCACCTTTGGGAAAACCTTTGGCTCAAAGTGGCTCTTTGAGCAAGTTCTCCATCTGCTCATAGTAATATAGTTAACAAAAGAAGGTTCCAATGTGTTTGCTTGGAAATTGTGCTTCATTGGAGACCTGTGGAACAGTAGCAGTGCTGATTAATTAAACTCCAGCAAATAATCTCCATTCCTTTTCTATTGGAATTAGCAGTTGATAGTAACTATGTTCTATGCAAGTAAAGAATGTTACACTTGCAGTATAATTCTAACAGGTCCCATTAACCTGTTCAGCAGTTAATTAACTCACTAGTGGAGGAGGAGGAGTGCGGGGGGGGGGGAGCGCACCGCCCCCAGCCGTGCGATCCCGGTGGGGTGCCATCCCGGCTGCCATCCCGCCCTGCTGGGCACCACGCCCCACAGGCGGCGTGCCCCGCCCCCGCCTGCTCTCCGCCCCCCTGGTGCCAGAGCATGAAGCTCCGCCACTGAATTTACTTGCCTGAAATAAAGGTCAGAATCCTCCAACCTTTGCAAGGTCATTGGGCCCTTCAAATTTTAATTACGATGAAGATTATTACTTTTATTCTTCCATGTGGAAGATTTTGCCAAGATTTATTCCTTTTTATCTAGTTGAAGCAGGGGTGGAGAACCTCAGCCCACAGGCCTAACTGGGACCAACAGGCCTCCCTAGTTGGCCCATGAGACAGTTCTGGCCAGGTCATGTCCACTTCCCTATACCTGATGTCATATAGGGGATCTCCAACTGGCTTTGCCTGCAAAGCACCTGGCCAGACGGTTCTTTATAAGGGGTTTCTGAAGACCTGCCAATCACTGTAGAAAATAGCTCTTTGAAAGGAGCTTCTGAAAAGGCGGGTGGACAATCAACAGGTGGACAAACTTAGTAAGTGCAGGGTGAGGGAGATAATCTGACCACCACCCCAGAGCAGATCCAGTTTCCCACCCCTGAGGTAAATGGACAACTGAATACTACTGAGAGAAAAAATGCATTGGATTTTCACAATGAACTTGACAGAAATTAAGCTTAATATTAAGTCAACCTGCTTTAAAATATGAGTGTTTCCAATATAGTTCCTGTTCTGTCACCGTGCTACCAGCCCTGACTCAACTCTGTTGTTACAGGTTTATAAAGCCAGAAGTTCTGACAAATATAACAATATAGTAAAGATACAAAGTTAGTTATCACTATTAGCATATTAAAGGCCCTGTTGGATAAGATCAATGTCCACCTAGCTGGAAAGTATCCCAGCTATCAGCAGGCTCTATGGTCCATTGGTGGTCACCATAGTGTCCTACCAATGTTGTTAGAATACAACTCCCATTATTCCCAGTCAACATAGCCAATAGTCAGAGCTGATGGAGTTGTAGTCCAACAGCATGTGGAGACACCATGTTGACTACCCCTGTGGGTGGTCCATGGAAATTAATAATCTACCATTTTTGCCTGGCCTTGCAGGTCCAGCCAAAAATTGTAGTCATCAGTTCCCCACCTGGCAATCCTTTCTGTAGGGAAAGGATGCTGGGCAGGAAAGTGTGCCAGCTTTGTCCCCACTTTCTTCATGTAGGGACCAGTGGAGATCATGTCTGGTTGGGTGCTACCCCTTCCTGCTGTCCACGTTTCCTGCTGAGGTGTAGGGAAGCCTGGGACAGGAAAAGCCAATGGCAGAGTGGAGATTGCTTGTCAGTTTGGCCTTACATGGCCAAGGCTGCCTGGATCCTTTGGTCACAGGGCTGTCCCCAAAACTTCCAGCCTTCCTCCCAGTTTTGGAGCACCACAAAACTTATTGAACTATTCCTTGGAACTGACAAGGTTACAGGTGCCACACAATATTTGTTCTGCACTTGTAATAAATTATTGTTTTAGTGTGGCAACACCTTCGCTTTGGAACTTCCTGCCTATTGTCATCAGGCAGGTGCTGTATTTTTTTTGGAACTTGCTTTAAACATTTTTGTTTAGGCAAGCCTATCTTGACATCTTGCTGGTTCACTGCTGATTTAATTTTTTATAATGTTTTTAATTCCTTGTTTTAACTGTTTTTATTTAAAAAATTAATATTTCTTGTAAATTCATTGGCGGTTTTGCTACAGTGAAGCGGTATATAGATTTTCTTAAGTAAAATAAACCTGCTTCCCTTCAGCTTCAATGTTGGGAAGAAGGATGTCCTCTGATAATGCTTTCCACTGGGTGGTTCCACACTTACCATTATTAGTGTGGCAAGAGGAATTGTTGTCTGGGTCTACCAATGGTCTGTGATCTACTCTTGGCCTCCTCCAGTCTGACTGATCAAGCCTACAGTGTTACAGTGCTGCTTATAGTACTTAGAAGGTTGCTGGAAAGAATGCTTTTTAAGGCTGCATTCCTGTTGAAGGTTTTCTGGGAGTAACCCTTTTACTTCTGAGTAGACATGTTCGGGGGGACGCGGGTGGCGCTGTGGGTAAAAGCCTCAGTGCCTAGGGCTTGCCGATCGAAAGGTCGGCGGTTCGAATCCCCGCGGCGGGGTGCGCTCCCGTTGCTCGGTCCCAGCGCCTGCCAACCTAGCAGTTCGAAAGCACCCCCGGGTGCAAGTAGATAAATAGGGACCGCTTACTAGCGGGAAGGTAAACGGCGTTTCCGTGTGCGGCTCTGGCTCGCCAGAGCAGCGATGTCACGCTGGCCACGTGACCCGGAAGTGTCTCCGGACAGCGCTGGCCCTCGGCCTCTTGAGTGAGATGGGCGCACAACCCCAGAGTCTGGCAAGACTGGCCCGTACGGGCAGGGGTACCTTTACCTTTACCTAGACATGTTTAGGATTATGCCTTTGACATTTGCTTCTTAGGATGGCCCAGGCAGGAAGATTTATGTAGAGCAGTATTTGTAAACTTAAACTGAGAGCAGAATTTTCCAAGCATTCTGCCAACTCAAATGCATTGTGCTTAATGTGGTACTTTGCCTCTCCAAGTGAAACATTCAGTAAAGGAACAGTCAACTATCTCTTTCAGTATGTTTTTGTAATGAGTGGTTATTTGCAGTACCTCAGATGCAGTTTCAAGTCTTGGCCTAATGGTTGTTTTCATTGAAATGAAAGATTTGTGGGCACTTTGAATTATTTCTTATAAATTCCTTTCTTTTTTGTTTTTCTGTGCTATATAAATTATTTAGATTGCTTAATAGACTGGTAGCTTAGTCGCTTGATATACTGATTGTAAAAATGGGATCAGAATATGCTTGTTGGAAATAATGATGTATAATCACAATAACAGACAATTATAAACTGGTTCTTTAGTTTAAAAATACCCAAATAAGGGAACAATAAATAAAACAATACTAAAGCAACTTAAACCCCCCCCAAAACAATGAGTCTCGCATTTTAAGAAAGTTTATATTTAAATGATTTATATTGGCATACAGTTTTTCTGCATCCTGTGCAGGTTGTTGTTATCCTTTCAGTAGATACTTAAAAAAACCCCAACTTGTAGATCAATGACTTGTGCAAATCTGATGTTTAAATGACTTTTTACACAAACTTTTTCTCTTGTTTGTGTAATACAATTGCTAATACAAAACAAAAATACATGACAATAAGGGTTAAAATATTTTCAGAGTCTTGATTACCCTGTTAATGGTAATATATGGCAGCAATCCTTAATAAAATATTTTGCCTTGGTATGAGAACTTAGAGCTAAATCTCAATGGTCATATTCTTTTTTGAGTTTCATTTGTCAAGAGATCTCCATTACCTTCCCTGCTTACATTAAATTGTAATAACTTGGTTCTTCTTTGTTATACATTACATATTTTATTTATTTATTTTATTTCTATACCGCCCTATACCCAAAGGTCTCAGGGTGGTTCACATAAAGGATCACATACATAAAATCAAAATACAAACAACAACCCAATAAAAGGTAAAGGTAAAGGTACCCCTGCCCGTACGGGCCAGTCTTGCCAGACTCTGGGGTTGTGCGCCCATCTCACTCAAGAGGCCGGGGGCCAGCGCTGTCCGAAGACACTTCCGGGTCACGTGGCCAGCGAGCCAGAGCCGCACACGGAAACGCCGTTTACCTTCCCGCTAGAAAGCGGTCCCTATTTATCTACTTGCACCTGGGGGTGCTTTCGAACTGCTAGGTTGGCAGGCGCTGGGACCGAGCAACGGGAGCGCACCCCGCCACGGGGATTCGAACCGCCGACCTTTCGATCGGCAAGCCCTAGGTGCTGAGGCTTTTACCCACAGCGCCACCCGCGTCCCCAATAGAAACAACCCAATAGAAACCCCCTAAAAAGAGCCAGCATTTTAAAAAGGGTATAGGATGTAGATCAGGTCAGGTCAGGCAAAGGCCTTGTCAAAAATGAACGTTTTTGCCTGGCGCCTAAAGGTGTATAGTGAAGGCACCAGGCAAACTTCCCTGGGGAGAACATTCC